TTTCCACCACTGGCCACGGAGCCAAGAAGCGCGCGTCAAAGAAGAAACTCCGCGCAATCTCCGTTGGACCCCGCAAGAGCACACGCAAGGTCGTCATTGATGACTTTGAGATGATGCGAGTCCTCGGCAAGGGGTGCGCGGGCAAGGTCCTCTTGGTCAAGCACAAGACGACTTCGGACCTCTATGCACTCAAGGCGATTACAAAGCGTCATGTCCTCGCACACCAGGAGCTGCAGCACACGCTCACCGAGCAAGCCGTTCTCAAGCGCATGGCTGCGGAAAGCACGGATCCGTTCGTCGTCAAGCTTTGGTGGAGTTTCCACGACAAGGAAAACCTTTTCCTCGTGATGGACTTTCACCCCGGCGGTGATCTTGCGACTCAGCTCGCACGGTGGGGGCGGCTCGGGCGGGATCGAGCGAGGTTTTACGCGGCAGAGATTGTCGAGGGTGTCGAGGGTCTGCATGCCGCGGGTGTCATCTACCGTGACCTCAAACCGGAGAACATTCTCATTGGCGGTGATGGGCATATCGTGCTTACGGACTTTGGGCTCTCGAAGGAGTTTCCGCGGCGTACGGCGGCGGTGACTGCACCTTCCTCGCCTCGCGGAGGCGAGTTTTATAGTGCGAATGGGAGCACGGTTCCTGCTACGCCGCCGTGGATGAAGGCGGACAAGGCGGGCGAACTTGCGGCTGGCTGGCCTGGGCCGCCCGTTGGTGGTGTTCCGGATACGACGACGACGTTTTGTGGGACGGCCGAGTATTTGGCGCCAGAGGTCATTCAGGGTCTTGCGTACAGCTACGAAGTCGACTGGTGGAGTTTTGGTACAATGTTGTACGAGATGTTGACTGGGATTGTGAGTGCCATTCTTTTCATCCTTGTGAATGGGCTAAAAGACTATGTGTAGACCCCGTTCTGGGCGAACAACCATTCAGACATGTACGTCCGCGTGCTGCAGGATGAGCTGCAGTTCCCAGACGATCGTGCGATTGATCAGGACACCAAGAGTCTGATTCGAGGAGTGAGTTGCGCTGTTGTCATCTTGCTCGTTGGCTTATTTGTCGCAGCTGCTTCAACGGAATCCCGCCCTTAGAATATGCGAGCCGCGCATCAAACGGCATCCGTACTTTTCCATGATTGATTGGTCGCATGTGTACTACAAGCGGTATATTCGTGCGTCGCCGGTCTGTACTTACCACATATACTAACGCTTGCACTCTTCAGCGCCATACATCCCGCCAATTGACCCGTCAAATGCGAGCGACACGCAAAACTTTGACGACACGTTCCTTGACATGGAGCCCGTGTTGGACGATGCGAATGACGACGCGATGGATACGGACCAGGAGCCGCAGACGGATGCGGAGCGTACCGACGGCGAAGAGTCGAATACCACGCCTTCTCAATCGCGCAGTTCGTCCATACACCCGCCCGTGGCTGCAGGAGATGCCGAGGAGGAGGAAACCGTGGATGTGTTTGACGGATACTCGTTCAAGGGCCGGCATTCTGTGCTCATTGATGATGAGGATGAGGAGGAAGAGAGCGAGGAGAGCGAGGAGGAGAGTGATGAGGAGAGCGACATTTTGAAGAATCTGGATGTCAATCTGGAGCCCGTGACGCCCAAGGCGAGTGTGGAGGACGCTGGGGAGGGTGAAGTTGTGGAGCCGAAGACGCCGGAAGCCCGTCCCGTGGTGCCGGCCGAAGCTGTGCCGGATTTGCCTGCGCCGGTCGAGGAGAGCGTGATCAAGGAGGAACCCCGAGAGGAGGAGCCCAAGGCTGCTGCTGTCGACCCTGCGCCTGTTTCTGCTCCAGCCCCCGCTCCAGCCCCCGCTCCAGCCCCCGCACCCGTTCCTCAAGAGGCCAAGCCGCGTCGGAGCAAAGACCAGCCTCCACCGCCAGTTCCAGAGAAACAGGTGACAACGCTGGTGCCAGAGGTTCCGCCCAAGGCAACCAAGAATACCCGTGTTGCGCGGCCCCGACGGGAGAAATCGGGCGTGCCTGCGTTGGACCGGCATCTCGACGAAGACGCCGAGGCGACGGAGAAGGAGGAAGACGACGACGAAGATGATGATTGGGACTTTATCGACGCTGTGGACGGGGAGGACCGCAATGGTGCCAAGGGAACGAGTTTGTTCGCCCGTGGTGTCGTCGATCGGTATCGTCTTGCGGTATTCCGAAAATCGTCGACGCCGTCTGGACGTCCGCCAATGCGGCAAGACACTGAGGGGTCGACTACGGATGTTGGTAGTGGTGACTCGCCCAGCCCTTCTCAGCGTCGTGGGCGAACGGGGGCGGGACTGACGTTCCGAAAACACCCTCGACAGTTTCTGCGACAGAAATCGCCACCGCCACCACCGCCATCGTCGTTTTCGAGCAAGTCGAGTCTCACCAAGACGATGAGCATGTCCAACTCTGGGACGTTATCTGGGTCGTCGAGCGGTGGTTTGTTGACGCCGTCTCCGTCAAACGCCATGTCCCCTTCGCTCAAGTCGAAAGAGTCGGCCATGTCAGTTGGCGCGCAGAGTACGTCGTCGGGGGAGAATGGCAATGGCGTTCTTTCGGACGGGGGCGGTCCCAAGGCGGTTTCGGATGGAGGGATGGAACGGCTAAAGAGCAAAAAGCTGAAGAAGCTATACAAGGATCTGAACGCTGAGAAGGTGTTCTCGTTCCTGTCCTCGCCGCGCCAACCTAGTCAGCCAACATAGGTCGACGAAAGCCAGACGTTTCTGTATGCATAATACACATTCATTCTCTCTTTTATCCTATGCACCTGACCGAACTCACACACCTATCTTATTGTCGTTTTACGTTCCATCGCAGACACGCACACTCTTTTTTTGGGTCTTTTCTGTACATACACACCAACGTTTGTGATGGCACGGGCGGGCGGGCATACTACGTATTTTTATTGCTTTGGGCCCTCGGCGACTTTTTTCCCTTATATATCTCTCCGTCCTTACTGCACCATTGTTTTCGTAGTCCACCCCTCTATAGATCGCTCATTCAACTAATCAAAAAGTGGAATAAAAATTGTATTTGCATTTGCCTTCTCTTCTGATCTGCTTATTAGAAACTTTCTCCGAGTCGTAGAAATGCTCTTTTCCGCAGTCTCCGACGGCGAATGATGATACATAGAAGGGCGAGCAGGAGGATGGAAATGACGCCCAGTATCGCGATGCCAATCCGTGCGCTGCTGCTTAAACGAGGTCTCGAAGATCTGGGAACTGTTGAGCGGATGGACGAAGACTGGTAAGAAAAGGAAACACTTACTGGGTTGCTGTGATTTGGGCGCTTTGTGTGGGAGTAGGCGCTGGCACCGGCACGAAGCTGACCGAGGTGGTCAAGAGGGGAACTCGAGTGGAGGTGAGATGCCCGTTTGTGGTGAAGAACGAATACGCGGATGTTGTAAAGACGATTGCGCTAGGGGAGAATGTTTCTTGTGCCCCACCCGTGACGTGCACATCGTTTCTAGGGAGTGGATTTCAGTTGGTGGACGGTTATTATGACCGGGTCGAGGCCTACACGAATGTGGTTGTTTGCGTGGGTATCGCACTAGCCGGAGACTGGGAGCTTTGCCGGGCTGTTTGCGAGGGAGTTGTAGAAGATTGGCTGCTGGAGTTCGGTGAGCAGACCAGAATAAAATAAACGGTGCTTACATGGGTGTCCATGAGATGTCGAGTGGATCGCTCGATGTCGAAAGTGAAGTCCGAGATGAACTCGACTTTGAAGTAGAAACCACAGTTCGAGTATCCGATATCGGGGCGGAGGGAATCGTGGAGAAGGACACGCTGACAATTTCCTCCAAGCTGGATACGAGTGAACTTGGCTTGAGGACGCTGTAGGTAGCAGTGAGGGTGGTTGGGGATGTGATTTCTGGCACATATTCGACGTCGGCCTCGACGGAGGATGTGGCATAGCTGTAGTTAATGGCTGGTAGATCCTCTGTAGCGGTAGAAGGTAGCAAGATAGAACCAAGGACGGTCATACTGAAAGTGGATGAGCATTACACAATCAAGAGGACAACGGTTGACTGACTCCGACACGGGGAATGGAGGCATTGAAGTCCAAAAGACGGGTGTCGGGTGCAGAAAGCTTATAGCGCGAGGAAGGCACCGCCGGACTGAGTTAACCTTGTCGAGAGGAAATGCATCTATCATGGCGGGACCTCACACGACGATCCTGTGGTGAACAGCATGGTCGTGAGACGACGGAATGGCAGCGCATCAGCTTAGATGATCCATAGTACACACGCAAGAGTCCACAATTATGGGTAGAAACACTGATCTGATACAACAGCGTCTGATAAGTGTGGTCAACGGCCATCCGTGGGATACTGCATTCCGAGAACCGTGCTGGGCGCGGCGGTGGAGAGGCTGGCGCGCGAGCGAGGCAAGACATACGGGGCGGTGAAAGTGAGGCGACTGAAAGTGCGGCCTTCGGCGGGTTCGGCCTCGGACTCGAGGGGCTGGGACTCGAGACACAACCTGCGCTGGTTGTCCCCAATGCGAACGAGGCTTCTTCGGCGGTTCAGGACGTAGAAAGCAGACAAAAGAGCGACAAGAACGATGCAGGCGGAAACGACGGCGATTGGAAGAACGGGAAGGTGTAGGCTATTGAACCAGGGTCAAGACGGAGACGCAACAGTTCAACAACGGCGGCATGCTGACCTTGGCCGGGTAGCCTCGTTGGTGGGGGTTTGGAGAGACAGAGAACCGGTAGCACTAGTATTGTTTAGAAAAAAAATTGTGCATCAAGGAGGAAGGAAACTCAGTACTTACGAGCTGCTAGCATCCATGTTCTCGAAGGGCAAGCAAGAGAAACAAGCAGTTGAGGGGGCGCCGGCCTTCTTGTATACTGTCCAGAAATAGCATGGTGGTGCTCGCGTGAGAGGGAAGAGAATGGGCGGTGCTGCTGGTGGTCGGAGAGAGAAAGAGGGCACGTCTAAAAAGGGATGAATCAAAGAGATTGCTCTCAAAAAGGACGGAGATTCATTCAAAAAGCGTGCTCCCAGTGAGGATCGAACTCACGACCTCCAGATTTAAGGACCTTGGATCCCTCATATTATGAGACTGGCGCTCTAACCAACTGAGCCATGGAAGCTTGTTTTTTCGTAATTCTCGTTCATCACAGGCCCGTTCTGTACCTTGCAATTCAATTGTGGTTCTATGACTGTTCTAGTCCTTCTTCAGCATCCGCATACAGTTGAAACTGTTTTCAGCGCTTGTGTCTGTTTACTGCACTCATGTCTAGTCCAGATCTTTGCACAGGCAGAACTGTGCTTGCAACAGCACTGAGCCTATCAAGGACTATTTGGTGGAATCTTCAAGGACAAAAAACAAAAACTATACTGATTGGAGTGGGATTCGAACCCACGCCCTTTCGGACCAGATAACCACCATTGCAGATAGTTAGAGGAGCATCTTTGGATGCTGGTCCTTAGTCTGGCGCCTTAGACCGCTCGGCCATCCAACCTTATGTAAGAAGTACCCGTTGCTGACCTATCCTTCCTAGCAGCTCCAGAATGTACAACAACTTTTATGCCACATTCTTCCAAGGTGACATCCCTTTTTCTCTCCCTCTCATATACTTGTTGAGCTGACTCTATTCCTTTCTTAATGTAGTGATAATATGCTGCTTCCTGGGCTGCAACTACACTAGAATGACTTCGCCTTTTGTTTGATGCAATCAGCCCGCCTAGCTCAATCGGATAGAGCGTCAGACTCTTAAAGCAGGTGGGCTCATGTATCTCCTGGTTATTCTTGAGATCTGAAGGCTGCGAGTTCGACCCTCGCGGTGGGCTATGAACCTTTTTCTTCTTCTTCATCGTCCTTCAAGGCTGTTGAGATTGACATGTGGACTCAGTACCTCCCAATGTTTCTGATGACTCAGTATTGAGAGACAAATACTGTTGGAAGACCAGCCACTGCCAGCCAGTTGGAAAATCGATACATTACAATGACAGCCTTACACACTGCCTTTTGAATGCTCAGTCAGTTCCAGGTTCCAACACTACCTCGCCGGATGGGACTGGACAACACCCCAGTCACTTTTTCTTACATAGTCTGTGGTTCCTTTCTGCAAAATTCATTTTCATGTCCAGCTCCTAAAGGCTAAGCCTCTCTGTCTAGTGGATTTTGATTCTTTCAAGGTTTCAGCATAACCTCATCATCTTGGAAAGACAGAATAATTGAGTGAATTTGCAAAGTGTTAGTTAGGTAAGACAGGAGCAATGAAAGGCAAAGCAGTCCAATGACACCAAAACAAAAGAGGGACTGGACACATTGGGAATTGAACCCAACACCTCTCGCAGTCACGTGACAATGTCAGATGCTAAGCGAGCGTGATAACCAACTACACCATGTGCCCTGTTGAAAGAGCCCTTTGGCTGGGATACCCATAGCGACCCCAGGTGTATCACCAAGGAAAACACTAAACAACACATCAAGTGTGTTAGCACAGACATGGAGGCAATCATGCATGCCATTTCCTAGGTTTGATGTCTCAAAGCTCCAACATGACCCTAGTTGCATGATGGGGAAAAATTTTGAGTAGAAAGACTTCAGCTACCAGAGCATATGGAGGATGACTTGACAATCAAAAATGATTCAACCCGGGATCGAACCGAGGACCGCCTGCGCCTTTGAGATATGTGAAGCAGATGTGATAACCAACTACACCATTGAACCTATATTTAGGGGTCTTCTTGGGCACACTCATCCCTTCCCTTGCTTGCCCAGAGAAAGTTCCAATACTTGATTCTGAGGTCAGGCACACCCCAGTATCCCAAATCAAATCAATCAATGCATCCAGCATAGGCATTGTCACAAGAAGACTGTAAGTAACTGAAGAAAGGGGTATGGTAATGCAACACCCCTAGTTGATGCAATCAAAGCCCACCTAGCTCAATCGGATAGAGCATCAGACTCTTAAAGTAGGTGGGTTTATCTCCTCGTTCTTCCTGGAGATCTGAAGGCTGCGAGTTTGACCCTTGCGGTGGGCTACCATCCCTTTTGCACACATCTTCCTTGAACAATGAGCTTCTGATAATTTTCTTTCATCCAACAACATGAACCTACGCACCTCATTAGCCTAGTAACCTTAACCAAGAGGCTGGTTCCAGGAAGGAGGCTCCACTAGGAATCGGCACAGGTAAACCCGCAGGTATCTTGGGGTCTACCTGTACTCCTACCTGCGGGTACGGGTACGGGTTGGTGGCCAAAATGGCAGCAGTTTGATGCCCACAGGAATTTTTCAGGTTGAATTGATGTGATTCAATGCCTGGCACGGTGAATTGAGATTGAGCATGCTCACAGTTCGAAACACCCTCTCTCAGTGTCAACACGGTGCTTTGCCTGGCTTGGTGGCTTACCCACGGGTCACGGGTATCCAGCTCGGCTACCCGTACCCATGCTGTTCCCTAGGCTGAGTAGGCTCCACCAGAATGTAGTTGTATGACATAGTACTAGTTGAAATCCTGTGTGCGGTCCAAATGGCAGCATGTCACGGTGCTGGGGAGCTCTGGGAACGAGAATGGCAGATGGAGAATTAAGCAGAGGAGCAGAACGAGGGCAGGCAGGCAACTGGCATTGGAAGGACCCCACACGAACTTGAAATTGAATCCTGAAAGGAACATAGACCAGCGCACCTGGCGGCAATTTAAAACTCAGGAAGACATAAAATACTCAAGATTTTTATTGCCAGAGATCACAGAGACCATGTGAACGGCACCGAGAAGCCAGGCAGGCATGTCACAGAAGGCATCCACGAAAGCGAGAAGCTCCTTGTCGTAGACCTCTTAGTTGATCTGGGAGAGTTTCCGGAAGTAGTAGGCCGTCTCACTGCCTACTCCGCTTTTTCCTCATTATCTCCTCTATGTCCATATTGTGTTTGCATCCAACTACATTGTTTTTTCTTCTGAAGATTGTGTCTGAGCAATGGTTATCAGTGGGGCATCCAGGGCTCTGTATTTAGACCAGCCTCTCTCAAATTCGTCAGGCTGATGAGAGTTCATCAGCCAGATGGGTGATTGCGATCTTGAGAGATGTTAAGTAAGAGTCCGTTCGGAAACTTTTCCAATTGTGCTTTTCACTTGACAACGGCGAAACGGAGATTTTAGATCGTAACTAGGTGTCGAGCCGATGTCGAAATGCAGATAGCAACGCACTTTTGGGAAAGCGGTATTGATTGCCTCTGATGGCAGACGTGGCAGACTTGCCGAACATCCTCAAGAGGAAATTCAATCTGAATGCCGATCATGATATGCTCGGCAAACACGACAGCCGACAGCTCACAGGCATGCAATCGTTATCATGCCAAATCTATGCCGCAAAGTCAATACGAAATCTCCGGTTCGCAGTTGTCAAGTCCGAAACGCAAACTGGAAAAGTTTCCGAACGGACTCTAAGGGCGGATGGAAAGCTCATCAGCTGGATCAGCTTCCCAGCCCTCGCGGCCCATATATGGCCTGATATGGCCATACATATTTTTCCCGGTTTTGGTGATATGATTGTAATCCAATTTTATTCACCACACATGTGCTCAACATGTACCGTCTGACTTATGAACCAACCAGCCGAGGAAAATTTAAATGGCCCCTGTCACCTGATCACGTGAACACAGGCCCAGGTTGTGTTGAAAGTTAATGTACAATGTATTGATCTTGTATAACAAAGTACAGCGTCTGGGGCTTGAACTAGCAAGCCCCTGTATATATACTCTATCCTATGCTGCGCCGCAGCCCTCCTTTCTCACTGTGCTGCAGCCCGGTATCCTACAAATCTGAATATTCCGTGTCCGTGTCCGTGAACGTCCTTTCCTAGACTCCGTGTATTCCCATGACTCTGAGGTATTTCCGGGAGATTTACTGAAGCGCCAATTGCACTTCCAACAGGTTGTACGTGGACACTGGGTCATCGTGCCAAGTCTACGTGCACGCCTTTACATTATCCCCCCCTTCTAGCGCAGGAGGAACTATGAACACAGAATTTCCAGTATTGGTGGTAGAACGGCAAGGCACGGATTTTGAGGGCTGAATTTCGCGGTCCAGGTGTTCAGCAGATCGAGAGACGTGACCTGAGCAAGTGGTGGTGACGCCATGACGGTGGGTGCAACATAAGTTGAGCAAAGGTTTTCGCAAAGAGGAGGAGGCATCGGCGTGCGTTGGGGAGCTGGAGGTACAGCAGCAGCGGCCGGAGGAGCCTCGGGATGTACCGTCTGACTTATGAACCAACCAGCCGAGGAAAATTTAAACTGCTACAGTACTACAGATTTAGATAGATTGATCCGATCTACCTCAGACATAAATACAAGTACATGAGATATCCATCCCAGGCTGATTCCTCCAAATCAACAATTCCTACAACAATGGCGAGAAGCATTGGCAAGTGCTGGAGCATGTTACACTAATATTCTTTTATTTCTTTGGAGAAGTGAAAATTGAAACTGGAAAAAAATCTGAGGAGCCCATTTACACCAGTGCTTTCTGCATCCTTGGCCTTAGCCAAAGCATCCTGTGTAGCCTTTAAGGCTTTGACAGCCTGGAGGGTATGTGGATGGTCTGCTCCCAGGCCCTCTCTGCCTTTGGCAACAACCTTGAGTAGGAGTTTTTCTGCTGCCTGGTGCCTGCCAGTGCTATGGAGTATCATGGCCAGGTTGGCCATGGCAGACAGTGTGTCAGGATGGTCGTCACCGAGGGCGTTTTGACGGTGTTCAAGCACAGAAACTTGAAGCGGCTCTGCCTCTTGGTACTGTCCCTGCTGCCTATATGTTGCCGCAAGGTTAGCTGCATGGTTGGCCATGGCACTCAATGTCTCAGGATGGTCATTGCCGAGGAGTTTCTGGCACTGTTCAAGCACAGAACGTACGAGGGGCTCTGCCTCTTTGTGCAGATGCTGTCGTCTGTATGTGGCTGCAACATGGGCCATGGCAGTCAGTGTATCAGGGTTGTCCTTTCCAAACAGCCCCTCCTGTCTTCCCATATTCCATTCATACAGTGTCCTTGCTTGCTCAAATTGACCTCCATCATAATAAATCATTCCGTATTGAAACCAGAACCTGGAATCTATCATTTTCAAATCTGAGACAAGCATTTTTGCATGGGACATGAGACCAATCCTAGCCAAGTATTTCCTAGGCTCACAATCTATTGCCATTCCCAATACATTTATCATGCACGCCCGTACTGTAGCTTGATTGGGTTGGGTGTCTGAGCACCACAGATGCACAAGTGGATGCATGCTCAGGGTTTCGCTTCTCTCATCCCTCTCAAGCAGTGAATATTCTTCAATCTCTGCTACAATATTCCTCAAGTATTGCTCCTGCCAACTTCCTGAATCTGAGACAAAGCTTTGAAGAAATTGCCTGGCTGCCTGCATTGACCCAGTTTCATTCACCTCATTCTTCAATATCCACTGTGTGGCATTGACAAATATTGACTCTGGAATCTTGCTGTGGTGCAATAAGGCACAGAGTCGCAAAAAGCGGGCAGCCACTGGGCTCAGTTTTTCAAAGCTAATTTGCCAGGTTGTATAGACAGTTGATTCATAGGCATCAAGGATTTGATCAGAGTGATGCTGAAGTAACTTTGCTTTGTTCTGTCTATAGATAGACAGATATTTGAGGAGACATTTGAATTTGGCTATATAGGCCCCAGCTTGGACAATTGCAAGAGGTAGGCATGAGAGCTCCTGCGCATCCTGATTAAGTATAGAATCATTGTATGAAAAACTTGAAATCTACCTGCACGATGTCCACAGCTAATTTATGATTTTCATTGGTGTCCTCCTTCACTGCTCTTGCAAGAAGAAGAAGAGCCGCATTTTCTTCATCCAAGTCTCCCACTTGTGAGTGAGCAGCAGGTGCATAAGCAACAAGGCGAGGGTTTCGGGAAGTGATGATAATGTTTCCATGGGTGCATTGTGGGAAGAATGGCGATAAATTCAGTTTTGAATCATCTGCGTTGTCAAGGAGCAGAGTCCACTCTTTGTTTCCAGAAATAAGCCACTGAAGGCCAGCTTCTGCTGTTTTACCAAAGGTCTGAGAGATTGCAATGTTCATGAAGGATGTTTTGAGAGCCTGGAGAGAGCCGGCATTCACAAAAAACTGCTTTGTAAAGCTGGCAAAGTTGTCAATCATAAGAATGTTTTCTATCTCAAGAATTCCGTACTCGTTGAGTGACTCTATAAATTTCAAAGCCACCTGAGTCTTCCCAGAGCCACCAGGACCATGGAGAACAAAAATCCTTCTCTGAATCTCCTTGGGTTCTTGGGAAAAGTACTCTTGCATTTTGTGAAGAATTTCTTTTCGTCCCTGGAAGATCTGGGATGCTGGAGGACATCTGACAAGTGCGAGAGCAGTGTGGCATTGTTCTTGTGCTGTGATATTTGCTCAGTTCAGCTTCCAATAGGAGCATGGGGTACCTACTGATGAGGCGTTGATGTCTTGGTTTCTTCACTATTTAAATAAAAGCTGTACACAGTGAGATCTGGCTCTTGTGGACACCAAAAATTTACTTCAAGTTTTCAATCTGAACTTGAATGGATCAGGGTCCCTCCTTGACCGGAACCTCCATCTCCCCCATGTTGGTCACCTGCCCCACCTTCACCGCCGGTGCCGCCTGAAAGCCAGGTCAGTACTGAGTACTGCTGGCTATTTCTGTGATATTTGCAGCATAGTGTGCTCACCATGTATATGAAATTGCGTGACCCTCTGTGTCTTACCGGTGGGCATTGGGTAGCTTGTGGTATGGTGGGTAAGGAGAGGTGTTGACGTGGCAGAAATATTTATATCTTGACAGGCACTGCCCAAAGCCCAGGCCTCAGTCTCCCACAACTCACGAGAAAGCAGTGCAGAACTCTCAGGCAAGCACCCCATGACCAACCTGTTTGCTCGAGTGCATCCACCGACATCACCCCCCTGCGCCGCTGCTCCAGCACTTGCCAATGCTTCTCGCCATTGTTGTAGGAATTGTTGATTTGGAGGAATCAGCCTGGGGATGGATAT